GAGAAATGTAATTGTGTTGTATACCTACAATGTACCAATAAAAGAATTTAATTAAAAAAAATAAACCAAAAAAGTATTTGAAGGAAAAGACGAGCAGAAAATAAATGTTTGGGGTTGCATTTCATTTAATAAAATATTTTATACAAATTATAAGTACTCACTATGTAGCCAAAGCTGGCCTCAGACTCACAGCAATTCTCTTGCCTCAGCTTCTCAAGTGTTAGGATTATAGGTATGTGCCACCACACTGTACACATGAACATTTAAGGAATAAGTGTAAGAAAAGAGATGCCAAAAACTTTTGTGGAGAAAATAATAAAATTTCATTAAACATCAAAGAAAACGTCAATACATAGGAGATATACCATGTTCATGGATTGGAAAATTTAATATTGCTTAAATATGCCAATTCTCTCTAAATTGGACTATATATTCTTTTTTATTGCATGTTAAATTGCAGCATATTTTTATTGAAATTGGTTCACTGCTTCTAAAGTGAATGAAAATGCAAATGATTAAAAAGAAATATTCTGAAGAAAAATAAAAGCGTTGAATTTTCCCTTTATGATATAAACCTATAGTAATTAGACAGTGTAGCATTTAAACACAAAGAGGTAGTTTGATGGAATCAACTAGAGACTTCAGAAACAAATACATTTATCTAGAAAGTTAATATGGGACCAGGGTCACATATTAACATCAATTAGGGAAAGTTGACTTTTAAAATGGTAGTACTGCTCTGGGTGTGGTGGTCCATGCTTGTAATTCCAGCTCTCCAGGAGGAAGGGTGAAGGGAGGAGGGGGGGGAGGGAAGGGGAGAGGAAGGGAGAGGGAGGGAGGGAGGAAAAAGAAAGAAAATGTTAAACTAATTGTTAGTTGATACTCTATGGAGAATGCTGATGAACAAACTCATTAATGTAATAACTAATAATCAAGATATATAGCTAAGCATTTGTCCAATTTTCCTATATGAACCAAACCTCTTGATAACTAAATGATAGTTGAGGGAAATACTACAGACTGAATATTTGTGTCCTCCCAAAATTCATATATAGATATCCAATTATTGCAGGTTGGGCTGTCACGACAGGGATCAGTGCTTTACACAAGTCCCAGGGAACTCTCTTGTCTCTGCCATCTGAGGACTCACCAAGAAGAAGGAATCATCTATGGACCAGGGGCAGCCCTCCATCAGACACTGAACCTGCTGGCTTCTGGATCTAGGACATCCCAGCTTTCAGAGTTGTTGTCTGTAAGCTACTCACTCAGTGTTATTTTTGTTATAGCAGTCTAAGCTGATTAGTATAGAATTTTCTCTTCAGTGAATTATTTCAGCTAATAAGTGGAAAGGATTGTTAGAATTTCATCATTTTGGATCTCAATGAAATAAAGGGTCTATATATTAATCATCAGCTGCTGCCTACATCACACAAAGACAAATGATTAGTCAGATGGAAAAACACACCATCACTCATGAAACAGTCTTCAAAAAGAGAATCATCCTGATTCTGGTCAAGCCACTAAATTCAACTACCCATTTTCAAGAAACTATAGAGGAGAGAGCAATATATTAAAACTCCATGGGGACTAATGAGCAAATCCAAACTGGGAAAATCTATATGACAAATCACCCAATTTATTTAACAAAAATGACAATAATTCTAGGCAATATAATGATGAAATGGGATCCAATAGGTTATAAGAAACTGGAGACATAGCAACTGTTTCCCTTTGGTGGGCTTATTTTGGCCCAAAGTCAAATAAACAATTTGTACAAATCAAAATGTTCACATTAATGCATCTATAAAACAGAAGTGTGAACACTAGATACTACTTGGTGGTATTGTGGAATTACTGTTAATTTTTAGGTATGTGATAATTATAGTTACTTTTAAGAGTCTTTATCTTTTAGAAAAACAAACTAAAATTTTTACAGATAAAATTCTGAAAGAAAAAAAAGGAAGGAAGAAAGAAGAAATCACTCTAGAAATCATAGAGAAACCGCCAGAGAAGTGGAAGATACCATTCCTTTCGGCAGTTTCATTCCTTGCCTGTCCCTGTCCCTCAGAAGCTGCACGAACAAGCCAAACCTACCTTGGGGTGGGGTCAGCTCTAGGAGCTGGAAGGAAGCTGGATATGGGAATCATTCCACGTTGTTTCAGTTTTGCCCCTCATCACTTGGCTGAGATACTGCGGCCCTTGTATCAGCCAGGTTGGACTGCCACAGCAAAATGCAACAGACTGGGTGGCTTCCACAACAGGGTTCTATTTTCTCGCTGGTACGTAGTCTGGGAATTCCAAGATCAGGGTACTGGCAGATTCCATTTCTGTTGGGGCCTCTCTTCCTGGCTTGCAGTCACCTACCTTCTTCTGATGTCTCCATATTATAGATATCTCCTCTCCTCTCCTCTCCCCTTCCCTCCCCTTCCCCTCGCCCTGCCCCCCTCCTTTTATAGAACCACATCCTTACTGGATAAGAGTCCCATCCTTGTGAGCTCATTTCACTTTACACCCTGAAAGTGCTATCTCCAATTATGATCACATTGGAGGTTATGGGTTTGAGGGAGACGCAATTCAGTCCATGGCCTCCCCTATGCAGGGCCCTTCTCTTCAGTGCTGGGTCTGGGCCAGATTTCTGTTGCTAGCCAAATACCTGAGAGGATCCAGCTACAGAGATATTTGCTGGGCTTCATGACAGTCCATATGGCTTTGTGCTGTCTGCCAGATCTTAGCTGAATTGCTTAGTTCAAATCAAAGAAGAGAGCCTGATGGGATATTTCTTTTTGCTGGTCTTTCCATCATAAGACCAATTACTGCATGTACTTAGACACATGATAGAAATGGTGAACACTGTTTTCTTCTATGTGTTATTTATTTTATTTCAATTTGTGAAAGCTTTGTCTATGACAGCAGTGTCCAAACATTTAACTCACCTGCTTTTAAAATTAAGAATAATGAATATAAATATGGAAAGAAAACTAATGAAACCACAGTTTCTACCAGGAACAGTTCAATATTAGGAGCAGGTGAAAGGGTGGGTGGGGCAGGAGGAAGGGGCAAGACAACAAAAGGAAGGAAGGAAGGAAGGAAGGAAGGAAGAGAAAGAAGGAACAGTAGCAGAAGAGAAGGCACAGGGGAAGTCTAGAAGTAGGGGAAGGAAATTGCATGAGGAAGGAGGAGATCTAGAGAGCTCCACGGAGGAGGAGCAAACACAGAACTGATGAACAGAATGCACAATCCAGGGAGGCAGGAGGGAAACTGCAGGCCCCTCATTTCTCCTGCAAACAAGGCATGTGGGAGGGAGGGAGGGTGTGAATAAGCATGTGTGAAATCCCTGCAGGTGGAGGCTGGAGGAGGTGGGAAAGAGCAGCAGAGGGCCTGGGAGGGGGAAATGCAGAACTGGAGAAATCTCTTTTATTATTTTCACAAGGACATGTCCCCCCTATCTCCAGGTCAGTGTGAACTGGGACATCCAAGTTCACAACTGTGTGGTGTGAGTTGTAAGTGATAAAGAGTCTTGTGGACAGGGGCACAAAGCACTGGTGAGAGACCTGAGCAGTGTGAACTTTCCAGCTCTTCAGCATTCACTATACTTCTGAAATTAACCCTGCTTTTTGGCTGGGTCTTGCGAAGACATGGCTGAGGCTGAATGGCCTCCATGGTCACCAGGAGACCAAATAGGAGACAGAGGCTGGGAGCCAAGCTCTCTGGAGAGGTATGGTTCATTCTCCAGACAGCAAAGGATGTGCAGCTAAAAAAAAAACAGTTTGGAATTGATTTCCTAGTTCTTGGTAAAGTTATTGGGCCTCACTCAATGAAACTGGCCTATTGCAGGATGGGATTCTCTTTTGTTCTCTGTCATCTTTCTCTTTCCTCCTTGGTCATTAGCAATCTGGGTGCTGATTGGATCCATGGTAGCAAAGGAAAAGGACCAGGGTTTTGTTTGGCGAACAGACAGTCCCAAGGCGTTGTCATGAATGTAGTCATGTTTGCAAGAGAAGGAACCCCTGTCGATGTTCCACCATGAAGATGGTCTTCCTCGGCCCCATGGAAAGCTTTCGAAGCCTTCCAAGGATTCTCAGAACATTGAAAGTTTCAGAGGCCCTTCTTCCCGACAAGGGACAACCAGCCTGAGAAGAAGAAGGGTAGAAAAGGAGAAAGGATCCTGTATGCAAGATGCCAGAAGAAGATCCTTAACTTGTGAAAGCATCACTCTGACTTCTGCCTCCCTCTTCACATGACCTTATTCCCTACCACTGTTTTTGTGTCTCCTTACTACATCAGCAATCGAACCTAGGACCCACCCCAAATATAGGATGATTGCAAGATTCTTTTTTTATTTATATATTAATAGGTACATTTTAGGTATACAATACATTTACATTCATCTTTGGGTGTTTGTACCTGAACATGATGTATCTTAGTTCTTATTTTTTCCCCCAGTAATTGCATCTTCAAAGACCTTATTTCCAAAGAAGGCCACCTTCTAAGGTTCTGGTTGGACATGAATTTGGGTTGGCACATTTTTCCACACACCATCTGAGCATTGCAAGAGTGAGAGTGGGGAGGCGATCAGATAGCAGAGGCCGAAAGGAGGTGGAATAAGCCAATAGGTTAAATGCTTTCTCTCACACTGCTCCTTTCTCCTCTTCTCTTGCCAGGTGGAATGTGGATTCACCTTACAGAAAATCAGGCCCAAGCAGGCAAGAATGGCACCTCCAGATGCCAACCTAGGGAGTTAAACAGTCTTCAATTCCTTAGACCTGCTATAATTGAGAACATCCTCCTCTCTGTTTTCCTCCTGCCCACTTGCTGCTCCCTAGAGGGGGACCTGTTTCTAAGAAGCCTGGGAAGGCTTCATAGGAATTGGATGTACAGTGTTTTGAAGGAGAAAAACCCAGGTGTTTGAGATTTCTATCCAGGAAAGAATTGACTAGTGGCTTTTGTTCACTCAAAAGCATTTTCTAATTGTTTAAAGGTTATCATGACATGGCTTGTATGTGACTGCATCCCCTCATCTTTCTTGAGCACTATTTTGAAGAGTCCATCTCTATATTCAAAGGCTCATGCATCAGTGCAGTTCCTTTATGGGTAACGCAGGAAGCCTGGAGAGAGAGTGTGGGGTTCTTAGCAGCATTTCCTACCAGCCAGGCTGGGCGCTCACTCGAATGCAGACATGCAGAGCATTTTCCTTCTATGTAAATATCTAATCTACACCAGGGCCATCATCTGACTGCTTTCATTGCCCTCAGATCTTGGAAAGTCATTTTAAGGTAGAGATCATTTGGCAGTTCTATTAAAGAAGTTGGTCTCATATCAAGAAGTAGCAATTCGAACATAGCTCTGAAGTTTTTTTTCCTGTGAGTGTTATAAAAGATCAACTCAAAGTAGGTTAAGCAGGCAAAGAGATTTAACAGAATATAAGAGTTTCTCATATAAGTAGAGGAGGGGTTGAACAAATAGAAGGATGCAAGTCTACTCAAGGAAAAATTTTATCTCTGCTTCTCTCTACCCATAATCACAACAAACTGGCCCACACTTTACAGCTCTCCATTTACACAACTAGAACAGGACTCAGTTTTTCATTGGAGGCAAAGTAAAATGAAGTACCAGGGAAGTGCTGTGATTGGTTTATTTGGGTAGAGCTCGCTCCTGGATCCAAGAGCAGAAGCTGTTTCCTTGATAGTTTATCCAATTATGTTGAAATTTTTGAGCCTAAGAAAGTCAGCTCTTCTTTTGTGTACTGCAAATCATGATTATTTTGTTGTGCATGCATCTCTTTCAGAAAAACTTAAAGCTTTAAGTATGATGTTTAGTTCCTTTGACAGAATCTTTCAGGAAAAAGTAGAAATAACCACCTCAACAAAAAGTCTGCTATTCCAATTTTATTAAAATGAGTCAAATATTCTGCATAAGATCCTGTGCTGTTACTGTGTGAGGGATTTTTAGTGCTATCAATCTGTAGATTTAATAACCACTGTTTAAATATGTATATCTAGCATAGAAATTTGTTTTGTTTTAAATATACCTTTCTTTTTGGTATCAGGAATGGAACTCAGGGCCTCACACTTGCGAGGTGGGTGCTGTGCCACTGAGCTACATCCCCAGCCCTTAAACACATCTTTTATTTGTTGAGTTGCAACTGAAGTTTTAAGGGAGAAGCTGATAAAAGTTATGGCCCCACATTTAAAAAGTGAGGCAGCACTGGTACTTTGTGCTATATCCCTCAAAAAGGTAAATGTTGAAGAACATATCTGCTTCTATCATTCTGCTCAGTTTTGTTGCACTTAATCATCACTTATTGGAGCAAATTTCTTCACTTATCCTCTTCATCCTCCAGTCCTGGTTTCCTGGGGGAGCTAGCACTCACTCCTTCAGGGATACTTATGTACTGCCTTTGAAGACTGGAGAAAGAAGCAGAAAGATTAAGCAGAAAACCTGAATCTCTTGCTGGAACCTAAGGCAGAGGGTGAAATATAGTGGCCTGGATCCAAATGTAGACTTTGATTACTTGCTGTGTGATGCTGAATATAATAGTCAATATTGTAAAGTTTTGACTATCTGCTTTGTAAAATTGGGATGATGATGTGACACAGAGTAGCTTTGACTACTAAAATAGATCATTTATGTAAAGTGCTTGGCATGTGATTACTTAGTGAGAGTTCTGCTTGGAGCCTACCATAGTCTGACCTCATTTTCTCATCTGTCTCTGTTCTTGGGTCCCTTTGCTTCCCCAGCACACACCCACCCACATCGATCACTAGAAGTTGGGCTGATGCCACATAGCCTGCAGCCTCTCTTCTGTCACTATTGCTGTTATATGACTACGTAGTCACTGTAGATTGGTTGGTCTCAGGCAGGAAGGACACTCATGTGACATCTTATGGGTCTGGACTTGAGGTGACCAGTTTGCCTTGATCAGAATGCTCTTCTCCTTTAAAGGCTATGACTTGTAAGTGTCCTGATTCTTTCTTTTGCCTTCCATATGTAAATGTATATTCATTCCAAACACCCTCATTTTTAAAAGAACTTTTCTTAGAAAGAAGAAAGAGTGTTCAATAAAGCAACAACACAGATAAAAGGTCACTGTCTTTGGAGTAACAGAAGCTGGCTAACCTGTCCATGGCTGGTGAATCCTGTCTATGGTTGGCATGGCTTCTAGAGGGTGACAGAAAAGAGAACCAATTGGCAATCAGAAATAGTGCCATACAACCACTCAGGCACCAAAGTGCTATGAATGTCAAGTGCAACATATTTGCTGAGGCAGAATCAGAGTCCAGCCAAACTCTAGACCATGCCAAGTAAGGATGAAATATTACTATTGTTTTTGCTGCTCATGAATATCCAGTTTTTCTGAGGTGATATTTGTGCTAGTATACGAGGGAAACAAACATGTCTTTGGCCTTCTCTGGTTCTTGGAATCAAGCTTGGTATTACAACAGAAGAGCCCAAAGTCATACTAATTGTCTACGTATACCAACATATGTAGATGCCAGGAAGAGAATCCATCAAGGAAGGCCCACGATTAGATGATGATGAATACCATGTACAGCTTGGCCTGCAGGGCTCCTAGATGGTCACCAGTCCTGTCCTTTCCTGGGCAGCTGAGGGAATGGCAGTGACCAGCTGCTTCTGGAGATTCTAATCTAACTTCCTGAGAATTTGCACAACTGCTCTGGACAGCAACTCTAGCCTGAGTGACACTTCTGAACTCAATGTGCCTTTTGCTGAATACTGTATGTTATGTTAGCTGAGGATTCCATCACCAGGCCGAGGGCCAAGGACAATCCTATTTCTGTTCAGAAGAGTCAAGAGCTCTTTCCATTTAATCCTGTCTCAGATAACAATCAGATGATTTAATCCATAAAAATAAATCCAATTCTTTGAGGTCTAATGTGTGTCTGGTGTTTATATATAGACAATGGGAGCTCTATTACATTATTGGTGTCAATAGGCAAAACAGGGCCTAAATGTCTGTAAGATGAAGCCCGGGAAGCCATTTTAAAGCCTACAGTTGTCTTGATAATTGGAGGAAAATGCCATAGAATCCAGTAAAATAAAAGATCTAATCCAGTAAAATAAAAGATCTTTTAAATTCTAAAGACAGTATATGAATTGATAGTTATAAATACTGTTCGAGTGAGCCTATTTTTCAGCTAGAAAAAGGTAAGAAAATCATTCCTGATAGTCTCTGATCAGGGTCTTGAATGAACAGTCATTATTGTCACAGAATGGGGCTTAAATTTCTCTAAAGGGACATTGTAGAGACATTTATGATGGCAAAGCCAATAGCTTAAGGGTTTTTCCAGAGCACAAATGGGTATATATGAACAGGTACATGTGGCCTGGGAGTAAATAGTGCAAATTTTGCTTAAGAGAAATGTGGCCATTAATCCTGATGTGTCAACTTCACTGGATTAAGAAACACCTAGTAGATTAGTAAAGCACACTCCTGGCTATGTCTAGGTCAGTCGTAGAGGTGTGACCTTGGGAACTATATATGGATACCCACTTCTGCTTCCCAACTGTGATGAAGTGAGCATCTTTGCCTCACCATACCCTTCCCTTCTGCCATGATGTTCCTATCTTGGTGCAAGCTAAGGACTGAATCCCCAAAACCATGAAGTTTTTGAAAAAATCAGTTCCCTGTGTAGAGAATCAACCTTGTAGGTTCATAATGGCTAAAAGTTTAGAGATTTTCACAAACTCATCCTTTGTTACATGTATGTTTGTAACGAGTTTGTTTTCATACATTTTACCTCTTAATCACAAAAATTGAGTGTGGAAAAATTCACTTGGTGCCACTTGTAGACAAGGTTATAGTGATTCTGGACTCTTAAAACATTCAGAATGTGGTTTTCTATCCAAATCTCTTAATCTCACTCCATGGGCTATGAGCTGCCTGAAGGCAGGTCACGTTGGCTGGGACTGTGTCTGCTGAGTGCTAGCATAGGGCTCCTGTGGGTTTAAAGCAGTGCTCTCTGCCTTGGCTGACCATCCAAACACTCAGGCAAGGTTTCAAACACACACGTGGGCAGGTTCTGCCCCCAGGGTCTCTGATTTAATTGGTGAGTTGAATGTTCTTGGTATTGGGAATTTTTTAAGTTCCTCAGATGATTCTAATGTGCAGTCAGTGTTGGGAATCATTGACCCCAGGAGCAAATTCTCCAGGTGCTGAAGCAGTAGGACTTCTCTGAGATACTACTGTATGGCAGCAGAAGAAGGAAGCAGATAGTGCAAGCACACATGGGGATTGGACTGTGACCACACAAC